GCTGAACGCCTCGCCCCCGGCTCCGTGCGCCGCTCACGACGCCCCTCTCCTCCGGTCCTTTTCTCGCATCTCTCACCTTGTGCCTGCTCCCCTGAGGTCTCCTGCCCTGGTCTCATTCCTCCCTCGCTTGTGCTGCTGCTTTCTCTGTGCGGAGCTGCTTCCAGGGAGCCGTGTGGGATTGGCTGCTCTTGCTGGAACCCCCGTCGTGTTCCCCCAGCGCACTGACTTTTGGTTGTTGTGTTTGGCCGCCTCGCTGGTGTGCAGCCTGTCCTCGGCCCGGGGTCTAGTGCCTGGCATGTAGCAGTCACTCAGCGCAGGCTTGCGGAAAGCGGGAGTGTGTGGGCCAGTGGGGTTCCTGACCCGAGGTGTTCAGAGACTCTGGGGGCCAGTCAGGGATGCTGCAGAAGGGATTTTGGCATTTGATGGGGCTCCGGTTAGATCATTCCTTAGGCCCTTTCGGTGCTGGGCCTCTGTGGCCCCGTGAGAAGTGAAGGGTGCCGTAGAGTCGTGTGGTCAGCTTTGGTGTCCTTGAACAGCACACACGTCCACGCTTGGCAGCTCGGGTAGAAAGGACCCAGGATTCATTTAGCTTGAGTGGACTGTGCTGTTACCGCAGGACTGCTGGAGGGGACGGTTAGAGGAGATGCTGTACGTTGTCTGTGGTAACGTTCATTTCCTTTTTTTTTTTTATCCTTGGAAATCCATTAGGAGACAAAGATTCCGTTTAATGAGCAATCTTTGAATGTTGACATTCATGTTTATTAAATGTACTAATTTCATCGCAACCTTGCATTTTATTTCCTCATGTTGGGACAAGCTCTCCAGCGACGACGCGGTGAAGAGAGTGTTAGCCAGAGAGAAGGCGGAAACAAAAGGAAGGTCCTCACTGACGTCGAAACCTCAAGAATTGGATAATAAGAACGTGCAGGAGGAAGCGTCCAGGGTTCGTAAGGATAAAGAGGTGAATGCAAGTTGCGTGCATCTGAAAATGAAATAATGAGGCTTTTTGTGGTTCAGGTAGACATAAGTGATATTGTCATCCAGCTTTTTTTTTTTTCCTAGGATAGAAGAAACTCTGAAATAAACGAGAGAAATACAAGTGGAGGTCGAAGACAGAAAGAGGAATTAAAGGAAGAAAGCAAACCAAGAGAAAAGGAAAGGGACAGGGAAAAGGCCAAGGAGAATGACCGAGACAGACACAAAGATCCCGAGAGAGACAAGTGCCACGAAGGGGAGAGCGAGCGGGCCAAGAACGGGGCCCGGCTGGAGAGGACCAGGGGCAAGGACGCAGAGCGGGAGAGTGGGCGGAAGAACGAGGGCGGAAAGGAGGAGACGTGGAAAGACCGGGAGAGCGAGCGCGAGCGACACAAGGGCCGGGAGCGGCCCCGGCAGAGGGTGCGGGACGGGCAGCGCTCCTGGGACCCCGACGGGGAGAGGAGCCACGAGCGCGAGAAGCCGGGGAGAAAGGTAAGTCCTGTTGGAAAACCTCTGCCTTTAACTTAGAAAGGGTTCGTGGTGTTCTCCACAATGACTTTGGTCTTGGTTGTAGTGGATTAGGAAACTGGATTTCTTTATCACCAATTTAAAATTCTGACAGTCGTGGATTCCTAGGAGAACCTTAAAGTGATACTGGTTTTTGCTTTTCCTGTCTGCTGTGTGTGTGTGTGCCTTTGGGCGTTCTCCTGGAGATTGGGGATCAGTGGGTCCTGTGGCTTTGTGAGCAGCGTTTCCAGGCAGCCTCAGTGTGGGGGGTCCCCGGGGTGTGGGCATGGCTGCGTTTATTAAGGATTAGGGATACTTTCTAAGTTTCTGAAGCATTAGCAGATGAATAAAATGAGACCTCAGTTTACTGAATTCTTGTTTAATTAAATTTTCAGGGAAATTTAGGGTTTTCCAGAAAATTCTTTTGGTTTCAGACACTGTTTTCTAGATGTGCAGGTTATTTCGGACCCGCTGTAGATAGGGTAAGTCTCCTGGCAGGGCTGGCATTGCAAATGCTGGTTCTTGCAGGGACATCAGATAACTGTAAAGTGTCCTGGGCAGGTCCTGGAAATCCACTGGTCTCCAGCTGCTAGAAAGGAGGAAGCTGAGGTCTGGAAAGTACAAGGTCTGCTGAGTGAGGCACCAGGCGGTGAGCGGCCAGCTTGCTCTTTCCCGCCGAGCTGGCCTCTGGTTTTGTGGCCTCGCATCCCTGGCACCGGGAGGTGAGCGGGCCCCGTGGGACGGACTGCGCGCCAGGCCTGGAAGCTGGTCTGCTCGGTGGTTCTGTTGGCTGTCGGTATGCTACCTGGGACCCTGGGGTCTCCCAGGGACACCCTGGAGTCATGTAACCCACCACGGCACATGTATCATAAAAGCCTGGTTTCCCGTAGGAGTTTTAGAAATAACAAAGACCTTCCCCGTCTTTTGCTTCTTTTTAGAGGTCTAAGAAAAGTCTTTTTCACTGAGCCGGTTTTAGTGTGGTGCTCAAACATTCTAGTGCACTTTACTGTGCATGAGGCAGCCCCTGCCTGGGGCACCTTCTCAGCCCTCCAGGCCTTCAGACCCAGTGTCCCACCCGTGATGTTCACTGAGGTTGCTGGTGGTGTGACTGGTTTTTTAAGTAGAGAGACAGTTCCAAAGAGAACTTTTATAGGTGGATACATGGGACGTATTGTAGCCATGAGCGAGGGACGGTTTTGTTTAAGTGTGTGAGATCAGGGTGAACGGACTGTGTTCCTGCTCCCAGCTGGCCCTTGTTGGCTGAAGGCAGGTGTTCATAGACCTGTTGTGGTGATTTTGCTGGACTGGCCCTTCTGTGTCTGTCTGGGGCTCCTTTGTGGAACAGGCTCTGGGGGCAGGTTGCTCTCTCCCCCAGGAGTGATGGGACCCCCAGAGAGCCGAGCCTCGAGGCTTCTGGGAGGGCAGCTCCAGGGAAGAGGAGACTCGGCTCTCACCTGGGCCCTGCCGGGCAGTCTGCAGCCTCCAGTCGAATCCCATGACTTAGAAGAGACGATGGTGAGACATTCTCAGCCTGTGAAACAGCAGATGTGAAGGCACTCTGAGAAGTCACGGGTGTGTCCCCGTGTGGCAGTGGAGGATGAGTCTGAGGTCAGAGTGGCCACGTGTGGGTGCTGCCCTCCTCCCATGTCTGCAGGGAACTGAGCACTCTGGGCGGGGGGGACCCAAGGCACAGAGCCCGGCCCGCACAGGAAACTACTTTGGATACAGTCTGCTACCTTCATAGTTAAGTCACGAGGACAGTTAATTGTTGAAGTATTCAACAGGCATCCAATGCTTTTCATGGAGGAGAATCTCAGTGATTGTGTCTCTTCTGCTCCTTATGTCGAGATATGTCTTTCTGAGAGTTGATTTAAGTGTGAGATTTTTTAAGGTGTTGATTTAACATGCTTACAGTTTTCACGTCATTTTTGTTTTGAGAGTGCTTTCCTGATGTAGCGTCTGGAGACTTTGCTCAAAAAGAACCACTCCATTGGGAGGTGAGAGTGGTTCCCTCACAGAAGATAGGAGTGGGCGACTCCCTCGTTTCCAGATTCCCTGTGTGTCCCTGGAACGTCTCTGAGAAGTCTGGCCTGGCGTAGGGACCGCGTGCGTGGGCCTGGGAGACACTGCTCCCTGCGGTTCCCTGCGAGGCCCTGCCCCTGCTGCCCTTGGCCTCCTGGTCAGCCCCCAGTGGGCGGAGATCTTGGATGGGCCTTTGGAGGTCCAGGCCACACAGCGACCGCAGGGGGCGGGGCTGGGATGTGACGCGGTGCTCCCGTGTGAAGGGTTATCTTGTTGTTCGTCAGTGTTAGAGAAAACATCTCGGCGCGTTTTTAGATGTTACAGACTTGAGTAATTCTAGAGTTTGAAAAAAAAATTTTTTTTTATAGTCCTCAAGCTCAGGAGAGATGTCTAAAAAGTCGTCAGATGGATCTTTCAAAGACTCCAAAGCTGAAACAGAGGTAAACTTGAAAAAATAATTTTGAGAGACATAAACCCGTAGCTGTGTTGAAATAGTAAGTGCTGTGTGTGGTCCACCCCCAGTCCACGGAGGCACGGGGTGGGGCATGGCGGAGGCTCACACACAATAGGTCCATATTTATTTTGTTGTAAAAGTACCGCTTTAAATGGTTTACTGCCTGTAAAGTAGGTGGGGTGTGTTTATCGGCTTCTTCTCTGCGGTGGACTCTTGGGTCTCCTCGTACCTTTATGTGACAAGTATGATGTACGGTGTACAGAGGGGTAAGGCAGTCATTTGGGAGAGGATGGAGGTGGCACTTCGGAGGAGTCTGGGAGAGGATTAAGTCACGAGGCAGACAGGGACCGGAGGGCCGGCCGGAGGGACCCGTTCAAGCTCTGCCTGGCCCGGTGGGACCCTGCAGTGCAGTTCCTGTGGGTGAGGTCCGGGCCAGGCCGGGCTGGCTTGGGGAGGTTAGACTCACCCCAACTTCATCGTCCAGTTTGCATTTCAGGAAGTATATCCGGGCAGCCACGGGCAAGATGGACAGGCATGGAGTGGAGGCTGGGAGGCTAGTTAAGAGGCCCTCATGGCAGGTTGAGGGAGGGGTCGGGCCAGGGAACTGAGCCAGCGGTGGGAGGGACGGGATGTGCTGTTTTCTCTGATTTACACTCTGTTTAAACACATCGTGTACGTTTTCCCTCTCAGAGTTGTTCACAAATGCATTGAGGTAATTAAGCATATAGCGACAGAAGTTGAGTCCCCATAAACTCATCTGATGAGACAGTGATTCTCAAGGTATGGTCAGTGGACGGCTGACCTTTTTAGGGCTGTACCAAAAAGTGGAATTCTGCATTTAGAGTGAAAGAGCTTTCAGCTTCCTTCTAATTCACACTCTTAGGTCTTAAGTGCTTAGCTGCACTGACTTGGAGTCAGTTCCCCTTTGAATGCGTACGGATGTTGTTGTGTTTCCTATTTGTTCTTCCTTGAGCTTGAATAATAAATCTGCTCATGGTGTTGCTCTGTGGTGCATCAATTAATTTTTTTTTTCATTCTCTTTTCTTTAAGACTGAGATTTCCACTAGAGCATCCAGGTCAGTGACAACAAAGACATCAAAACGGCGATCCAAAAATTCAGTGGAAGGTACTGCAAAATTTATCATACAATGTAGCTGAAAATACTAAATTCTTTTTTCTAATTTATTTTATTTTTGGCTGCGTTGGGTCTTCGTTGCTGCGCACAGGCTTTTCTCTGGTTGTGGCAAGCGGGGGCTACTCTTCGTTGTGGTGCGCAGGCTTCTTATTGCGGTGGTTTCTCTTGTTGTGGAGCATGGGCTGTAGACGCACGGGCTTCAGAAGTTGTGGCACGCAGGCTTAGCTGCTCCACAGTATGTGGGATCCTCCTGGACCAGGGCTCGAACCCATGTCCCCTGCGTGCCACAGCTTAACCACTGTGCCGCCAGGGAAACCCAATACTAGATTGTTTGCTTTAGTCACAGCATCTAGTAGGAAAAAGCTTCTGTGACTAGAAAGCAGATTTGCCTTTGGAAGGAATGAACAAAGACTGTGTGAAAATGATGAAGATATATGGCTTTCACACCCACATGCATGTGCATGCCCTTGCACACATGTGTGAGCTCACGACACCAGGGGCAGAGTACACCTGCGTGATCTGTGTTCCAATCTAAAAGGTGTGACTGAATGTTAATTTTCCAGAAATATTTATCAGTCATCCGTGTCTCACTGACTCTTCTGAATGGGTAAGCAAGTTTAGTCCTGATGCAGGATGGACATCAAGAGCATCCTGCCCTTAGACAGGTGATGTTTATGCATTTAAAACATAGCAGAAAATGTCACTGACAGTCATGCTAAAAGCTGAAGCTGAAGCAAACGGGCCTGGCGTGGGTTTGCCCGAAGATGTGTCTCCTTATGACAGACCGATCTCCTTATGACAAGCCGATAAGTGGGGAAAGAATGTCAGTCCAGTGCAGGGAAGGACAGTTGGAGGCCGGCAGTGTCGGAGGCTTTCAGTGGAAGCGTGAAGTTACTTTGAATGAGCAGAGTAGTTCCTGAAAAGTCATCCTTTTCCTAAACTGTAAAACTTACAGAAGTATGGCAAGAATGTAGTAGTTGGAATTTTTCACTGAGAAATTGAACTTAGGTGGTAAGTTCCGCTCTTTGACGTTGACAAATGCTTTAGTGAACTTCTCTGTGCCAGAAACTTCCTTTTGGGCGATCTCTGTGGGATAGGTTCCCAGGGTATAATTACTGGCACAGAGGGCCAGTTGGACATTTTAAGGTTTTAGCTACAGTGGACACTGTCTGTACCCTCTACCCCACAACTTCTCCGGGGGTTTGTTTGAAAGGCTTTGCTGATTTTGGTGGATGGAAAACACTCAGTCTGAGCATTCTTAATTCGCGTGAGCTCCCTCTATGTTAAGGACATCTGCCAGTTTTTTTTTTAAGTATTTATTTTTTTATTGGGGTATAATTGTTTTACAGTGTTGGGTTGGTTTCTACTGTACGGGGAAGTGGAGTTCCCTGTGCTAACAGCAGGTTCTTATTAGGTATCTATTTTATACATATTAGTGTGTGTATGTCAATCCCAATCTCCCAGTTCATCCCACCGCCACCCCCCTGCCGATTTTTAAATAAGTATTTGTTTCTTATATTTTTTTCCACTTTTTTAATTCTAATTTTGTTTGGTTTCTGACTTGCCTAGGTGTTTAATTTTTATGCACTGGAAGCTACCAGTCTTTTTTCTGTAGTTTTTCCAGAGATTTGAGAGATGAAGTTTTGTGTTTTGTCATACGTTTTAATATTTAATCTTTTTGGTTATCTCTTATTTTAATTCATGGTATAAAATGAGGCTCTGAATTTATTTTTTCATAATAACTCATCAGGTGTTCCAGGGTCACTTACTAAATAATTGTTCCCTTCCCTCCTGCTCTGTGGTCTCCCCACATGCCTTTTGGAGTCTGGAGTCTGGTGTTCCTGTTTTTGTTTTTTCTCTACTGTTTTCTGTTTCACTACTAGTTCCCTATCATTTTTCCTTTCAAAGACGTTTTAAGCCCTTTTATTTGCTATTCTTCCAGATGTATTTTGTAATCACTTCATGAGTCAAAGAATCCCACCTCCCACAAAACAAATGGATCAGGATGTAATTGGACTTGGGTGAAACTTAGGCTTTCGTTATTCTGGGAAGATTGGATACCTCTACTTTCAAGTTAGACAGGGGTCTCCTCGTCTCCCGAGACGTGTGTTGGGTGCTTGGGTGTGTCTGTCAGTCAGGGATTGCTCGATTGTTTTGTTTTCAGTTTTTTTGGAAATGGAATCTTTCTTCCCATCATTAATTTTTAGTGATTATTGTTGGAACATAGAACCTTTATTGATTTTTGTAAATGTATCTTAAATCTAGCTTGTATTGAACCTTAACCCATAATTGTTCCATTGATGTTTTGATTTTCTAAGCTGATGGTCATGTCATCTGCTTTTCTTTTTTAATAACTCAAGATGTTAGCACCGGAGTTAACCAGTAAGCTTGAACTGTAGGGTTCCTTTTATTTGATCTTTAAGAGATTTGGTTATCAGAGAGTTGCCAGCTTTATGACATTAAGGTTTACTGAGCTGTCGACAAATTGGTGAACTCTTTCTTCCCTGCCTCTGCTAGCCGGGCACTGACCTCACCCCGGGTCCTTGCCCAGCAAAGCTGGCGCTGCGCCCTATCGTGCTGCCTCGCTTTAGCAGGTAGCATTAGGGGAAGGGTCCAGCACCCAGGAGTTGTGCGAGACACAGGCCCTCTGTGTTCCCGCCGAGGAGAGAAGCCTTGCCTTTACTAGAGAGGGAGGGCATCACGTTTGTTAGACATACTTAGAATCTTAAGGCCATACTAGAATCCCTATAGGATCCAAAAAACATTCTGCGTAAGAATATGATAATTTTTGCTTATTCTTAACCAGTGGAGACTAGCAGAGCAAATCACTTTGAGTTAGTGGGTGCATTTTAATTTCATTTGTTCGATAATATGCAGCATCGCAAATTAAGTTTAATATGTATTTTCATTGTGCAATTTCATGTTAGGAAGAAGGGATTCTAGAACCAGTGAAAATAGTCTCTCCCCTGAAAAAGAACGTAACTCTTCCTGCAGTAAAGCTAAGAAGGAACACACCGGGAGACAGCTCGGTAAGACTGAGTGAACCCCAGGGAGGCTGCGAGTGAGCGTTTGCGACCGGAAACCTTTAGCCACCTGATCCCTTGCTTCCGTTTGATCAGTAAACAGACGGAGCCCTGTGGGTGGTGCAGAGGAGATGTGCCCTGTTTGACGTGGGCCCGGGTGCTAGAGCACTGTTCTCAGCCCCAAGTGGAGCAGGGGCAGGGGACCTGCGGGCCCCCTTGTCTGAGCCACGGGGCTGCCCCCGCCGTGCGTGGACTCCCATCCGTGACTCCCTCACTGGCCGAAATCGTCCGTGTGAGCCTTCCTTTCTTAATTCTGCAAATATCTGTGGAGTACCTGCCCTCGTGGAGAGTATGATCTAGAAGAAGACAGACAATAAAGAGAACTCAGGATGTATACATTCGTGTTAGTTAACCGTGAGTCTTTTGAAGGGAGATGAAGCCGAGAGAGGTGGAGGGGGTGCGTAGGCAGGGAGGGCCACTGAGGAGGGGGTGTCCGGACAGAGTCCACTAGCGTCACAGAGCACATGACCTGTGGGTGTCCAGGAATGGCCAGAGGCCCCGAGCTGGGGATAGGCCTGCCTGTTTGAGTGACTGGAAGCCGGGTGGTGAGGCTGGAGCAGAGAGAGGGCAGGTGCCAGGAGAAGGGGCTCGTGAGCGGGCAGGCTGGGGGCATGGTGGAGTAGGTGGGAGCGAGGTCCCGGGGGTGCCCAGCAGGACAGAAACAGGCTCTGGCTTAGGTCTGAGAAGCACCCCCGTTAAAACTACAGGGGCGGGAATGAAGGCTGGAGAGCAGTTAGGCGGTGCTGTGGCGTCCAGGTGAGAGGCCATGACGTCTGGGACCCAAGGTCACTGCTGCGGAGATCGGGGGTGGGGTGGGGCGGGGTAGCCCGCTCTCACGGAAGGGATGACAGCGGCGCCGATGGACTGCACGGCGCCTGTTAGGAATCACAGGTGGGATCGGTCGGGGGTGTCCGGCACCTCCGTGGTGTCATTTATTGAAGTGGGGAAGGCTTTGGGATAAGCTGGTTGGCGGATCGGTTCTAGAGGCGTTAAGTTCAAGATGCCTGTGAGACAAGCAGGTGGAGGCGTTGGGACAGTGGGCGGGTGTGTGGGCCTGGGGTTCAGGGGCAGAGCTGGAGAAGCTGACGTTAAAATGAAGAACTTGGGGGTTCCCAGATTAGCACGCGGGCCTTCATGCAGTAATGGCCTCCGGGGAGCGTGGAGCCCAGGGTTTGAGGGTCGGAGAGGAGGAGAGGGCTCTGGCAGAGGAGACAGAGGCCAGCAAGTTGGGGGGGTTGGAGAGCCAGCGCCCTGAAAGCCAGGGGCTTCCGGAGAGGGAGGGGCTCATCCAGCGCTTCCGAGACGGGTCCCGTGGAGGCTGAGGGTTGACCGTTGAGTTGATGGGGCAGTTGGTGACCCTGGCGTAAAGCCTTGTAAATCCCAACCAAAGCAACCAAACGCAAAAACCTTCGCAATAGTTTAATCTGTTGTTCGCTGTTTTATGTCAGGAAGAAAGGAGGATGATATTTCAGCTAAAATTTTAGACCCCATAGTGTCTGGATTAAATAATGAACCAGATCAGGAAACTACAACTTCAGAAATAGGTAAGAAAAATATATTCTTTAGTTTAAATTCCTCACCACTTTGGTATGAAATACTTCTATCTCAGTGTGGTTATCATTATTCTTTATTTTTCTAACCACTTTAATGTTCATGAGATTTCTTTTTTCCCACAGTCTACTGAAGAACAGAAGTGACTTGATAGTCTGTTTGCTTTAATTTGCTACGTTTTATGATAAAGAAGATTAACTCAGCTTTAAGTTAACCTTTACATGCTTTATCATGTGGAACATCTTTGCATCTAAGTCAAAATGCTTTCTTCATCTTACTCCTGGAATTTTAAAAAGTGTTGTGGATAGTTAGAGAAATTATCTTTCACTTCTCCAGCATGCTCTGCTGTGTTCTGTTAAGAAAATGGTCCACAAGAACTATTTTAAAGTGCTTGCTCGGAGCACCCGGGGAAGGTGTCCCCGTGGCACACCTTTTACATTCGAGGCTGGCAGTGTGACGTGTGTGCACATCCTCACCCTGCTGATACCGGGTGATTAGACGTACGGATGTGGAATTTCGGTGGGATGATCCAAGATTGTAACTGTATGTAGTCTTCTGTGATGTTTAAGTAAATTCTTCAGAAACATGGCAATTCTTGAGTGACATTTGAGGGGAAAAATAGTGTAAATCTTGCCCCCCCAGGGAAAGATAAAAATTTTTCTAGGCTGAACTTGCCTTGGATCTACCTGTTTTTTTTAACATTCTGTAACTGTAGCTAGAATAACCATAAGCCCATCTTTCTGCACTTGCGTTCTGCCTTTACTAGTTTTTGCTTTTCTAAGAGGGGTGTGTTTGCAAGCTGTGTGCTCCATCGCTGGTTCAG